ATAATTTAAACAGTATACGAATACGTTCTCTACCTCTCGTTTTCCTTTAGCAATTCAATTAATTTTACGATCTGCCGATACAGCGAATCGCCTTCAACTTCGCGCTCGTTTCCCGCCTCGTTGCAAAACGTGACAGCTACGCGTGACAGGTGCGACAATCGACGTTACTGTCGACAACAGAATCGAAAGATGTAACTGCACGCTCGCGGCGCGTGCATATCCGCGGAAGGCCGCTAGATTCGCGAGCGGAAACCTTCGTCCCTGCAATAGCGCAGGTAATTAGTGGCTTGGAAATACTGATTACAGGATCTAATATCGTTCACGTGTGACCCCGACCTAATTTTTAACACGGAATTTCGATGCTATAAGTTAATTCGAACTCGTCGATGAGCTTTGTTTCCGAAACAAAAGCACATGTCACGCCAGGTGTCGTTCAATATTATATCTAAACGTATTTTTTATTCCTCAATAATTCAAACGAATTCACGTCCCCTTTCGCAAGTTGTAATTTTCAAGTAACTACAATTTTCAATAAATGTGCACAAATGCGCGAACGAGCCAACAGTATTTATGTCACGGTATGAAAACAAGTCTAAGGAATGATTTTACAAGGAATGATTTTACTGATTTTGCCGACGCGACGATCAAATTATAATAACGGCTCCGTTAATTGACCAATTAAGATTTAGTGGCAGGATTTTTCGCGTGCTGAGATAAGATTCGGAGGGAAATTGCACTCGGGAGAGAGATTCGGAGGGAATCAAAGGAACGCGCCCTCAGTACGCACTCTCGCTGTTATCGACCATCAGAAGAGGAGGCCGAGCCGAGCTGGCTCGAGCAGAACCGAGCGACACCGAATTGCGGATACAGAGAGGCGAGCCTCTCTACGAGTCGTCCCTTCGTCGGCCCGGGATCTGGATCCTGTTGCTGATCGGTATTTCGGGTTACCGTCGATCGCGATCCCGTAAGAACTCGCATTCGCGGTCCACTCGCGTCCACGAAATTGGAAAAACGAGTTCGCACGACGTCAGACGAGAGGATCGGAATTTCGCAGACCTGGACTGTGTTTACATCCCTGGAGGGATCTGACATCCCTGCGTGACTCACTCGTGGGTGTATAAGAGAAGAGTGTCAATTAAATCCGGAGCGAATACCTCGTGTGCACCTCCGAAAAGGAATCTGCGATTGATCGTCAGTTTCGGGGGCTCTTCTCGATTTTGTGTGCTTCATATTTAAACACAGCTCATTATCGATATTAACGATTATGACGAGCCACCCTTGGAGTGACTATACCGTAGTATCCGCGCGTGATTCATGACAATCTGCTCACGACGAGGCGATCTTCGTCGTCATGTCGCTTTCGATAATCATCGGCGTTTCGCAGGTGTATTAAAAATTATTTCACGCCGATTCGTGCACGACCTCGCAAATTTAATTTGATTTCGGTTCTGAGCAAGACAAGTGTCCATCATCTTTACACCGAGCGATGAGTGCGTCAAATTTCGTTCCAAATGACTGATTATCCTATCGAATCCCAGGATGATGTTTGGCGTCCAACTTTGGAATGCGAATAGTCGCAACGACGGTTCATCGAGTCGTCTCTGAGATCTCGCGAGTGCCGCGAGTGCCGAGGATCTAACGTCGTGCTTTATGCGTCGTCATTTAAGACGCGACGCAACGTTGAATTAGGTTCTAAAGACATTCGTGCAAAGACATTCGCATTGAGAACATTGATGACGGAGTTCGTAACTGTTGCACGAGATGAGAGCAACAATCTCGGTTTCACAAGGGGCGATCACGCTCCGTGATGATTCATTGCAAAACAACTGGTTGAGTTTGGGCAGCTCCTAGTCGGCGGGGACCATGGCGACTGTTCGGCCGGATAGCTGCGTAAATGCGAAAACGTAAGCCCCGTTTATCTTCCCTTGCGATTTTTCACCCCATTGTCGTCGCTATGATTCCTTCGATTTCTTGAACGATATTTAAAATCGTCTCTCCGATGTTTCGTTCAAATACATGATATTCGGTTGTACGTGTGTACGTACAATAAACTGCTGCATCACTCCGTTGTCTTCGGTTTTGCTCGCCGACAGCCACGTTATTACCGTCGTGCGTAACGTAGCGTGAAAAATAAACCCTGCTTTGCGCGCGGCCTGTCCTCTTCGATCAGGTGCTCCGCGTGCTGAAATAATCATATTCCAGTCGAAAGGCAGCGAAACATGAAGAAACGTAAAATTACCGATATATTTCAGTATCGTTTCCCGACAACCCTAAGAATCGAGTTATTTCCTGTGATGGATAATTGATTGACATTATTTAGAAAATGAGATTTTTGAAAATGAGGATCTTATCGTTCAATTTTTTTTTCTTTTCTCGGCTATCTGGGTCTCCCTAGGACCTTGCTAAGTAATGAATTTGTAGAATTTTTTTTTTTTCATTCTCATTCGTCGTACCTCTTTCCCGAGTCCAGCGACGCAAACCCACGTAATTATCGGCAGCTTTAACGTTACGTGGGCCGACGCGAGAATAATAACCAAGGTCAGGAGCGCGGACAGTGCTGAAAAACGAAATATCGATTCAGCATCGTGTCGCATCGGCCGCATTTTCCCCTGTGACGCACGTCGTTGCAACGCCGCGAGATGCATTCAGCATCCACGCAGCGAATACCGCACACACAATGCAGCTGTACTGTGCGCCCGTCGGGTTCTCAGGATACCTGATGGCGGGAACAACTAGAATCGCTACTATATTAGAACCCGCTTCTCCCTAGAGGAATTCACGCGATTTCATCTTCCCCATCGATATCAGTCATTTTTCTCATATCTGAATAGTTGTTTTATTTTACTAGATTTTTTATACTCCCTATACACTGAAAAGTTGTTTTACTTCTCCTAAATTTATACATTTTATTCCACTTTCTAAAAAGCGAAAATAAAGAGCGGTAGAATTTTTCAGCTTTAAGAATGAGATTCCACTAAAGACTTTAAAGAGTACTATATCAGAACAAGATCTGTTAACAGCTCTCTATAATTATTGTCTAATGATCTCTAATTGTTTTATGTATTTCTCTCAGATAAAATGTTTTATTTATTTTTTGCTATACCAGAAAGAGCTCAGTTTACTGATTTGATTACATCTTTTTTTTTTTCTTCTCCTTCCTCTTCGGTCTTGAATTTCCCACTGATTTCGCGAAAACGTGAGTCGCATGTTGCTGGGTGAACAGTTTTACGTGTGAAAACTAGTTCACCTTCGGTCTACCGGCTACACCCACCTAGCGACGGGTTTTTTTTTTTCGATAGATTTCCACACGTCGGAGTTCTGCCATCGCGTGCGGCACGCTCGTCGAAATAACGGAAGCCCGATTTGAATTGAACGGGTAAATCCATAATCGAGAGAGATGCGAAGAGTGAATTGGCTGTGAATCGTTTGAGTTGCCGAGAGAGAGAGAGAGAGAGAGAGAGAGAGAGCCAGCTAAATCACTTTTAAAACTATTAATTATACTCTCCGAAACTTCCTCTCAATAACTGAGAATTCCTCGATGATCTCGGCAAATGTCTATTCGATATATGCTTCGCTTTTACGAAAAAATGGAATGCCGTGTTTGCATGTTAGCAGAATAAAGTTCTACTGACGCGTCGCGGAATGTTCAAACAGACTCGGAGACGAATCGCCTCGTGACATCAACACAGAAATAAACGAAGAACAGATGATGCTAATTACTTCACTTCGAAGCTCCTCTAATTCGTAGTTTGAAAATTCCATTTATTTTACGAGCGATAATTAGAAAATTGTTCCGATCTCATCTAAGATGAGATTCCCAGTCATTAAGCTCGACTAACGCGAGGCTAATTCAGAGACAGTTATAAATGACAGTTACAAATTAGAATACGAATAAAGACAAGAAGTAAATCCGATCGTTTCTAGTCAGATCGCCTGATAACACGAGCGTTGCTAAGGGGAGGTGTGCGTGTAAAGCAGGTACTTATGTTACAGGCTCACGTTGCATAAGCAGATAACAATCGGCGCATTTGCAATGAGCGTGTCGTGCGATCATGCTCTGACGTCCTGTTCCTCTTTTTTTTTCTTCCCTTCCCTTCCCTTCCCTTCCCCCCTTTCTGCCGAGGTTAATTAAAATCGTGAGTGACGCGATCGCAGACCCGTTCCGTGGGTAAATTTACATTCGTCTAGATTTCCGGTTTCAGTTGTCGATTATTACCGATTGTTAATCACCGCAATTGGACGAAACCGTTCACCGAAGGCCGCTCCCGTGCGTCTCATTTATTTACGGTATTCACGCCGATGACTATAGCTCGCTCAGCAAGTTCTCGTTCAAGGCTGCGCGGGTGACCGCTACGATTTTTATTCTCGGTTCTTATATTTTTTTCTCGCTTTTTTCTTCATCTCTAATTAGCACGAGTGACGAGTATCGTTCGATTGAATTATGCAAGATGCGCGGGATTTTCTTATTAGCTAACTTCCTTATCCGACGTTAAGTGACTCCTTATCTGACGTTTGAAGGAGACCGCCGCGGGGATGAATAATTTTCATTTCAATGTATGATTCCAGATGTGTATCTAACGTATCAAATCTCAAATATGTATAGTTATTGTCTTTCGAACCGTTTCAAATCCCAGAAAGCAAGAAATATTTCGAAGCATTGCAGCAACATTATAATATTATCATACATTGCTGCAATGTTGCAAAAATATTTCAAAATGTTTCTTACACACTAAATGAAGAACAAGATAATTCTGTTAGGTGCTAAATTAAAAAAAAAAAAGTTATATTGCGAAATTCATAACTTTATACTTTGAACGACCTTAAGACGTTCAAAAAACCAGTTGATACGTTTGAAAATAAATCAGCATTATTACACTTGAAAAGTCCATTTACTTCTATTTAGGTGACCAACTCACGGATGAAAAAAACTTTGATCGTGACGACGGTCACACCCGGTCGTAATGAGATCGAGTGAGGGATTTGATCGCGCGTGAGAGGAAGCATCACACGAGTAATCGCGAAGTGACAGAACGGCGGCGAGGTGATAACGACGATGGGTTCCTTGCCAAATCTTCACGAGCTGTCCAAGGACAAGCTGGGAAGCCCGGTGTACAAACCGGCGCCGATCGGCGGTCTTGGTCCGGCGCGATTGCCGCCGCAGCCACCGCCGTTGGCGCATACGCATAAACGTGCAAGAAGTAGCGGCCACCATCATTCTACTCTGTGCGACAACGATACCATGCTAGAGGTAACACGTCAACGGATCGATTGTTGATACTTGAACAGATCTAGCTTAAGGCGATCGTATCTCATAAAGGTCAAAGTACAGATCTTTGCATAACGCATAAAACAGTAAGATCAAGCGATCAAGAGTCTTTTTTATTTCATGAAAAGGAGGGAAATGAAGGACTTTGATTATCTTATCTATTATGCTTTATGCAAAACTCTGTGCTTCCGCCCTATTATATTTTTATAAATATTCTGTGAGTATAGTTGAAATTATTTGAGAGCCATACTATATAATACGAAAAGAACAGTTTTGCTGAAGAAAGGTATATAAATCTGAAAGTAATTTTGTTGAAAACTGTCTGAATAATGTAGAGTTTCCTTTAAGCGGAATTTTGAGTAAAGTCGAGTTAAGTTTTTAAGTATTTTAACACAAAAAAGTTATAATTTTTTCATATATATACAGATGCATGATTTAGGAGTCGAACTTGGATTTTTTAACTAAAGTTATAACCTGATCTGTAACATTACTTATGAAAATTCTAAATTTACAGTTAGATTTAAATTTAAATCCAAAGAAATTATACATTCGGAAAATACGTCGAGGTAAAAAGTTGCGGTCGCGCGTATACATATTAGCTGTTCCGTGCGAGATTACCGTTTCTAATTTTGATCAGGGATGATTATAGCTCTTCGTCGGCCGAGTTTTTCGATTCGCCGATTGTGCATTAATGTTATGCGTTTTTCTTATCCTTTTTATTATACTTTTGCAGCACATGGCGGCATACTCGCCGATTTCCTGCCGGTCGACGCGCACCTCGGCGCTATCGTGGCGGCGTCGCGACTCCATGAACTCATCAGCAGGTGCATCGTCCGTGCGCCGGCTGATCGCAGCGGTCCGTGCGGCCCCATCCGGGCCCCGACCACCACGTCGGGTCGTGTTGCGTCATATCGCAGCCCTTTTGCTCGGTCACGCGAGTTGCTCGGCCGCCACACTGCCCATCTTTCCACTACAAGCAGGTTTGGGTGCGTTCGAACCCCGTCTGGGTCCAGTGCTTCTCGCCTATCTCTACATGATGGCAGCCGCCACCAGCTGTTTCGCACCCATCGTCGTGCAACGGCTCGGCACAAATCTCGCCATCACCGCGAACCACGTAGTCACTGCTATCTTCGTCGGCGTGCACCTGTATCCTAAATGGTACGGTAATTAAACGCCAGCGTGGCGTTTTATATACGAACTTTGAATCTTCAATCTGTGATGACGATTGTATTCGTTACGTCAATCACCGTCAGTTCAATATCGTTTGATTCGTATGAAAATGAATATAAACTAAAAATTCTAAATTCTGAATCTCTCTGCACCAAATCTAGTAGTTTCAAATATTAAACCGAGGTACGATTTGATGAAAGAATTGAATCGGATAAAAACGATATAAACTTAAGTATTAAATTGTATATACATACACATGGCGTTTCGCATCACCAGGTACATACTCGCGCCCAGCTACGTGATGCTAGGCTGTTGCGCCAGCTCGAGCTTCCTAGCGAGAACGTCGCATATCAACGTCTCCGCTACCAGTCTGGCTCTGGTCTGCGTCGATCCCGAGGATCCCGCGGATGAAACGCGCCGCGAATGCCTGCTGAGAAGACTCAACCGGGGAATCAAATTGGCTGAAGATATCGGCCTCGCAATCGGTATCTTTACACCTATTATTTCTTTTGATCATCTTGTTGACATTAAATTAAATTAAATTAAAATTAAATTATTTGACATCGTATATAATCTTTAAAAAAATTCCAACTTAACTCACAATCAGTAATGGTTTTTATTTCTATTTCTACTTGATTAGTTTTGTATTGTAATTCGACACGCGATTAAATATTTTATTTTTAATCATGTCTATTGATATATACTAATGTTAATTATATTTTTTTTATAGCGTTTCTCTTACTTTTACATATACTATATCTTAGACTCAACTAATCTATTTGATATTATTTTATAATCCCAGGTTGCCTCATCGCTGCGATCCTTGTCAGGTTCACGGATCTGATACCATCTAGCATAATGAACACCGACGTTTGCGGGGCTGAGTACTGTTCAGAAGAGATGTACTTTTACAACGAATCGCTTTACGTGCCGACGATTACATCGGGCACTTCGAGGATCCTCGTCAGCATCTGGCTTGGCTTGGCGGTGCTCGGTCTAGGCATATCTTGCGCGTTTCTCGACTCTAGGCTGCAGGAACCTCAGACGAATCATGATCGCGCTAACGTCAAAGACATCTTCAAATCCGTGAAATGCGCGTTTCAGGACCCAAAGCTTCAGCTCGCAGCGCCGCTCACGCTCTTCATCGGACTGGAACAGGGTTTTATTTACGCCGATTTTATGGAGGTAAACGAGACAAGTTGTTTTAAAAATTCGCTTTATTTAATGACATTTATGATAAATGTTACAATTAACTCCCGATATTTTTAATTCAATTTAATTCAGTTTCTCTTCTTGGAAGTGAAGAAAGTATTTTAAAATAGCTGTCAACTAAATTGAGTTATTTTATATGCAAAAAAGGGTTAAAAATACTTATTATTTTCTCTCTTGAAGACACTAACAAAATCATGCATTATTCATCTTCCGTAATAATTACATCGATGTATCGATTAAAATATTTCTCAAACGCGACACGAGTGACTCCAAATGTTCTGAAATCGACTATAACTGGCGTATTTTCTCAAAATCAAGTGGATCTAAAACGAGCATATTGTGTTTTTTTTTTTATTCAGGCATACGTGGTATGCGCCTTAGGTGGTGCCGGTACAGTGACCTTAAGTTTCCTGAGCTTGGCTCTGTTGCAAGCTCTGGCCGCTGCGACGCTCTCGATGTTACTGAGGCACATTAAAAGGTACTTTGTCGTAGGTAAGTGACTTCTAAAGCGTCAAATTCAATAACTAGCACACGGTCGAATCCAAATATAAGCATATCTAATAACAGATAAATAAAGTAAAATCAAGAGATGAGATAAATAGATTCAAGAAGTTCAATAATATAGATTTAGCAAAACAATTAATAATTTAAAATTAAATGTGTAAAGATGATTCCGGTTCGATCATGTTAATTGGAAAGACTTATAATTGTGAATCAGAGACAGAACAGACCATTTTCTCCGTTCTAGTCGTGGGTTTTGCTTTCCACGCCTGTCTTCTGCTTGTTCTGGTAACCTGGAGACCGACGGGAGACGACCCGGCTCTCTTCCACGTTATATCAGCTGCCTGGGGAGTTTGTAATTCCATTTGGGAAACTCTGATATACAGTAAGTATCTTGTTTAATTTCCACAACGCGCGGATAAAGGCGGCAAAGCGATTTTGAACGAAAACAGCTAACAAGACAGGTCGACAGTTTGCAGAAACTGCGCGAATCGAATTCGATTGTTGCGATTAAGCCAAACTAAAGTTTCGAAAGCGATTTCCAGACTTCGTTTTGTTGACGCGCGTCTGCATCTCGTCAGAATGCGGGCACCATTCGTACCACAATTCTGCACACACACAGCGAAATCGCGCACGCGTATCGAACAAGTAAAACGGGACAAAAGAAGCGAGACATCGTCTTTGTATTCCACGAGAAGAAAAAGCACGAAGAGAATATCACTATCGGATTGAAAATAGCACATCCTAATTTATACATCTTTTAAAAACTGCGTTTATTTTTGTGGAAACGTATAATAAAAATTAATAGAGATCGAATAAATGAAACTTCTAATGCAATTCTGTTGAGACGCGGGTGCAAGAAGAAAGGGGGGAGGAGACCGAAAAGAGAACAGATTTCTCAATCCTTGATATTTTTCCAGCGCTGGTGATGGGCCTGTATCCGAACGCGTGGCAAGGACCGCTGTCCACATCGCTCTTCTGGCGTTGGCTCGGCTTGACCCTCGCGCTCAGTCTTCACGGCGCGGTGTGCACCCGTTATCGCGTGCTAGGCCTTGCCGTGACCCTGGTGCTGGCAGTGGTGCCGTATCTATTGTTGGAGAGCCGTCTCGCCCGCCGCGGCAAAACGCTCGCGCCCTTATGACCAGGCGACTCGACCGCGAGCGAGCGCGGCTCCACCAGTGTCGAGACGGCGACGACGACCGAGATCAGACACCGGGGGGACTGAGAACGAGCCGTTCCATCCAGCACCGCGGCCCGAGTGAAATCGTGGACCGGAATACCGAGACGCGGTAGCCGCAGGAGTAGCGGCCTGACGACGCAGGAAACACAACAGCAGCAGCAGCCACAGCCGCAGCCGCAACAACAGCAACAGCAGCCGCAGCAGCAACAGCAACAGCATCAGACTAGCAGTGCCAGCAGTGCGACGTTGAAGATCAAGACGCGACGTAGGGCGAACAGTGTCGCATTCGCCTGCCGCACCGATTATGGCCTGCCAGACGATAGCGATGATAACGATAGTCCGCCGAAGAACCCAGTGCTGCTGATCGCGGAACCGGAGCGTCGCAGGAGCGCCATTGATACTGCGGAAGGATCGAAGGAGCGCTCTTCGATCTTCACGCTCTCGTGAGGAAGGCATCCTCTCGCGAACGCGCTGCTTCCCAAGCGTCACCGTGCCATTCCGAGTGTATGGTAGCTGCGAGAGTGCGATATGTTCTAATACGATACGTTTTGAATAACGCGTCGAGGGGGGTGACATCTCTCTCTTTCTTTCTGTCTGAAAAGTAAAACTTTATAAAGAGTTTGAAAAATGAGATCGCGCGTACTCTTTTCGCAGCCTTGACACAGAAGGAGAGAGAGAGATTCTCTTCTTTGCTCTTATTGCGACTGAAGGAGTCAACGTAGTCGCAGAGAGAGCGTGTAATCCAGTATAATGCACTGATAGCGTGCAACCTCGACGTGATATCTCGTATCGTATAAGCGCAGAGCACCGCGAGCTATTGCGGTGTCCTATTTAGCACTCGATTCTCGGGAGAGAGTTCTGTCCTTCCGTCTCTCTCGCTCTCTCGCGAATTTGGAGCGAGGACATCCAACGATCGATGGTCGCTTTAAAGCTCTCTCCGGGCGCGCGTTCGAGTCGCGATTAATGAGGATCGCTCTTCCGAAGCTGGATGGAACGGCTATGTATACAGACACTATATAATATGCATACACATACGTATATATGTACAACACATACGCTTTTCCGCTACGGTGCGATCGATGCACACGACTGAAGAGCGGGCAAACGGCACGCGCTTACACGTACACATGTACGGAAATCAACATATATATATATATATCGTATTCTAATATCGAGCGTACCGTTTTGTACCACTCGAACGAATCACCGTTTGACGTAACGAAACGTCGAGATGTACCTGATGTCTTTCAAACCAAGCTACAAGGTATAGTCGCCCCGCGCGTGAGACTCCTAATATATAAATATATATATACATATACGTACGCAACATACACACACACACCTCCCTATCTATCGTAGATGCTCGTACACGAGCCTTGCGGATGCATCAACTTTTTGAGTGAAAAAAACGATTCCTGTCCTTTTGTATACCGATCATATTTAAAATGACGCGCGCGGCCGTCAAAGTGATTCGCGATTGGTGTCGAAGTTGAAGACAAATCGACGCCTACAGGCGAATCTAGCGATAATTGTAAGCGCCTTTGATGACTTAAATATCATGATAATTCGAATAAAATTTTTTATGATTGTAATTCGTTGAGATGAGATTCGCGTGTGACGATAAAGAGATCTTCCCTCGATTATACTAACAAGGGTGACCTCCGTTAATCTTCCGTAGATAAAAAAAAAAAGCCGAGGGTACGCGGCCATTCATGAGGCACTTAGACGTTTAGGACATCTTCCCTGACTGTATTAGCCGCAATCGTGATCATCTCCCGATTCGCAGAACGTCAGTTGACATTTTTGTTACAAATCTTAGGAACTAAGCAAACTGCGAAATTATAATCGCGTAAAGTTTAAGAGAAATTACTAAGTGTTATCTCGTTTAATGTTATACAAGTGTAGGCGAGTCGAATGTTAAATTAGAATGATATTACGATGAGGATAACATATCACTCTGACATACATCATCCGGCGGAAACGGAGCCTGATTTTCATTTTCTTATCCATGATGGACCTAGCACATTGTTTGTAAAAGAACTGAAAAGGACCTGGCAACAGCTACTAAATGTTTAGTAAATAATCTTAGGGGGAAAAAAAACAATAAAAAAGTACAAAAGTACGGACTCGCTAAATTAAAAATAATAATGGCATAATCTTAACAAAATTGTTAAATTAATATAACTCTAAAAATCATTTTATTTTTCTAGACATTTAGTATTAATTGTAACAAACGGTTAATTGTATTATCTAGAAAAATAAAATTATTTTTGATTATATTATATTTGAGTGGAATTATTTCGTTCAATATTTGGTAGCTATTATTAAACCTCTTTTTTTTCAGTAATGACGACTCGTACCGCGGAGTACGAGGTAATTTTTTTCGTGAAATTAGAATAATTTCGAGAATAACATTAAAGAAATAATCCTTCATGAGCTTCATCCATCTTTCTTTCGTTTCATGATACACGTCGCATTTTGTCATCCGATTAGATTTATACAATGTAACTTTAAGCCGAAAATGTAATTACGTTTAGTTTCATATTTTTACGCGAATCAGGGTTGAAACATTATTTGATCATTGTGTATACTTTCGGGACATTCCGAGATCCCTGTTTCCGTCGATACAAATCTATCCCATTTTACGGTAAAATTTTTTATGCGCCACATACATGTTTTCCGATGTTCGAGTTAATCATATTACGCTTGACCGACAGTAAGGATCGCAGGACGGCGATTGGACAAAAAGAGAAGGAAAAACGCGAGGTTCCATGGAGGTGTGAAAGGAGAGAAAAAACCGCTAGGACGCAAAAACGATCGCGCAGATAAATCCGTACTTTTTACTCAGCAATAAACTTGCTCACTTCCGGTTCGCTGAGAATCGCAGCCGATTTCTCGCGGGGCGAGAAAAAAGGTCTGAGGGTGGGAGAAAAGGGAGTTAAGCGAAAAGAACGTTCAGTGTCCTAGCGAGGCGCGGAGCAAGGAATGTATATCGTCAGTGTGGCATTGGGGAAAGGCATATATTATCTGTATTTCATGAAATAATAAATATTATCTTATTTTATATCGATCGACGCTTTAATTCACTTTTGTGTGCGACGCGTAAAATCACTATTCCCAAGATCACCCGCCTGCCTACGAACGTTCCAAAGGAAAAGCAAACACGCTCGACTATTCCTACTAAATCGCACGCATTTCTTTTTATCTCTTCCCTCTTTTTAATTATATTTAATATATTCTTGGAATTACTTTCATCGTAGAGATCGTTGGTTCTCAATTCGTTTTTGTACTTCGTAAACTAAATACCTACACTAAAAGCGCTAATCGCTACTGAGACTCAGATTTCGTCGATCTTCCTCAAACGAACGTTAACGATATAATTTCTAAGAGCTCACTAGGACTGTAAATTAATTCATAAGTGTCGGTTGAATAAAAAGAAAAGATTGCACGTATTCAAAAAGAGAGAGAACGATTGTCAAAGAATAAAATGAAGAAAGGAAAAAGATCGGCGAAATATCACCTCCAAGTCTTAGAACGCAAAAGTATTGAAAAATTTGACTAAAAAGAACAGCAATGGATATTGATCTCGTTACCATAGCTCAAACGCTTTGGCAATAAAATGCCGAGTACCCAAATTAGAGTACTTGGAAGTATCCGAGACGATTCCTTATCATTTCTGACAAACGCCTCCACATCTCCGGGATGCATCATCACGTCTCGCACTTCACTCACTTCCTATTTCCAATAAAACATAAATGCAAGTGAAAGGACTCACACATCTATATATATTATACTATATATGTACGTATATATGTATGAATATATACATACATATATATACACGTCACATTGTCTATCTAATTGTAAGTTATTGTCAGCATCTTACGTCTTAACGAGAATGCGAATAGAAATTCGCGTTCTCGCAAGAGCGTGACAGGGCACGAGTTAGTCAGCTTTGCAAAAAGCCTTGGATTTCAACTGAATTTATCAATGTATAACGTTTAGAAATACACGCACACACGCACACACACACACACACACACACGCACGCACGCACGCACGCACGCACGCAATGGATATCCAATATATCACATAGACACATGGAAACATTTTAGCTATTTAGCCCGTGTAACTTGTAACAATGCCCCTTTATTTATTTCTTCATCGATCATATTTCTCGCTTTCCTTCTCTTTTTTTTCAAGCATTTGCATTTAACATATAATTCACAGCAAAATTTTTTAGACTCACTTTATAACTCTTCCTTTCCCTTCCTTTTCTCTCACGAATTGATCAATGTCGCGCACGCAGTGCGTTTCTATGAAGCGAGTAAATACTCTACGCAAACGTATCTTGTTTGAATTATTACAGTCGTGTATAAATGTAGGCTACGTACACACACACTATAAACGTAAACGCTCTCGCATAATGTATACAGGTAAAAGATAGGAGATCATAAATGACTGCATTCGTATACAGATCGCCCAGACAAACAAAATGAGTATAATCTGATGACGATCTGTGAGTTCGAAAAAAAGAAAAAAAAGGATAGTAATAGTATTGGACTGATAGTATCGACTGGAGGAATACATTATTGAGTCGTTGCGAGTATAAAGGAAATACTGGCCTAAGAATATCAGAATACGCTACGCAATTTCCTGGGAAACGCTTGTACAATCTTATAGACTAAATTATATCGTAACTTGCTGATCGTTGATTGCAGATCGTGATATTCGGAGTCGCGAATTACCTCTGTATTGACATCGACGAGTAACACTAAATTATGAAACTGGACGCAATTCTCTCTTTCATCAATCAGATCATCGTTTAACCTCCAATACTTCCTTTCTTCAAAGTATAATTTCTCTCATGACGGATGAAAAAAGAATTTGTTAATATTTAAAACTCTTATTCGAATCACGAATTTATTGTTTCTAAATAAAAAATCCGTCCTACTTCATTTTTCTCTTTGAAAAAAAAAACAATAATGACGGAGTATATAATTTTCTCTTTTTTTATAACAGTATTTGCGGTGTTCTTCCAACAGCGTCAAACGTTTTTCTTACGAATTATTTTGTGTAACGCGAGAAGCAATTTCAGGCTGAAGCAAAGTGGGGGACTAATATCTCGTGTACATATATTATACATGTACATATATGTGTGGCTTAACTAAACTATTAAAGTATCACAAAAGAAATATCGTGTTTCTTGTAGATCTCTCCGGCTTTCGTTATCGCCATGTCAGCCCAAAATCACTTTTATATCGCGACTTTACACGCGTGCACTACAAGAACGACTTTATCTCTCTTTCTTTCTCTCTTCTATTTCGTACTACCCAACATCCGTACGTCTCTAGCTAAGATACCCCTGAATCTTATTATTCTTTCACCCTGTTATCTCGTCGCACTTCTAAGAAAATTATCTTTTGATATATATAATATGCGTGTTATTTTTAAACACAAATAAAGAAGAAGAAAGCCATTTTCGCGTGTTATTTATCTTTTCTTTTTACTCAGACATGTTCCATTTCACTGTTTCGCAGACTGTATATTAAAATGCTCATCGGCAACATTATACGTATAATAAAAGCGCACAAAATTGTTCTCCCTTCCCTATTCCTTCTTAGTAATTCTAGGTATCATGGATGTTCTACTATGTTCACCATAAGCGATAGATACTATCGTCAAGATGGTAGCAAATTGTACAATTACATTCTCACCTTCCCCTTTTTACCGATACCTGTGGACAATATTTAGAGGAACACGAATTATAAATAATCGATACGCGCGTGTGTATTATATATACACTTGGAAAATATTTAACGAGATTCTCAAAGAAATTGTAAAACTTAGAAAACATAAATGTGCTAAAAACACCAAGGTAAGGTTTCTTTCAATCGTCATTATTGTTGCGGAAAAGCCATTGATGCGATTGATCTTCTAATACTGTGCACAGAAAATATGCGAGCTATCATCATTAAAGAAATAATCGTTAATTATATACACTAGCCATGGAACAAGTTATTTAATTTTGACTTCTTTTTTGCATAATCTTTTTGAAAATACTTTTTCATTAGCGAAACTAAATTATAACACTATTACTGACATCCTGTTTAATAACGACGAAAAAAACGAGCAACGAGTACTTACTATAGCTTTACTCACAAGTAATTTTGAGCATCGGTACATTCGACAATACAACACTAAGGCGATTTTTACGTAACAGATAACACTGCATATATTCTCAAGTCTCACATACATACTCACGCACACGGATGCGTGCACGACGCTCTCTTTCTCTCTCTCTCTCTCTATCTCTCTCTCTTCCGAGTACCACAGTAACAGGTCCGTCAAGTTACTTCAATCAGAAGAGCTCGCCTCAAGTTCTTTCAGGAGAGTCCTCAATAATTTACAACCACTACTTAAATTTGATACTTAAAATTCTGTTTGTGTGCAACTAAACGGATCGACTGCTCAAACTGGAGTATAATTGCCCTTGGGTTTGTAAAAGAGCTTGCCACGCACTATACGTCTCGTGATTTCATTGAGTAACAAGCGTTTTTCCTTTTTGATCTTCTTCAGTATACCCCTGTTCTCTTGTGCGCGTCGAGACAAGTACGGCAATACCTCCTTAACCGGTCCATACGGGATGTACTTGTATGCAGAGTAACCAGATTGACCTAGAAATTTTGTTCAAAATTGATCCAAATGCGTACATATCTCATTTTATATTATATACAAAATATTTCAGCTTAAAGAATTATTCCGTACCTAATGGAAATGTGATGTAGTCGCACATTCCTAATAATTGACCAAAACATATGACTTTATCCTCCGGCGAAATTCCGATTTCTTTCATCCTAAAAAACATAAAAAAAAGATTATTTTATATATGCACACACACGCACGCACATTCTTTTATAGCAAGAATGAAGATAAAATAAATCGTAACGATACTCACTTCTCGATCGCGAAACGCACAGTGTCTTCGTTGTGCGAAGCGACCATAATTCCTATTTTCTTGGGATCTTCCCCCTTGTCCTTATACTGCTTCATCCGCCTCAAGCACTCCATGAGCGTCTTGTGGTAGGACTCGGTCGTCGCTTCGAACGTTGGGTTAGTGGGATCTGGATAACCCATAGCTGCTGCTCTTGCTCTTTCCTGAATAAAAACTCTACGATATTTCTGCGCAATTTAATAAAATTTATTCGAAGTGTTCACAAACCTGTTCAATGTACGCGCCGCGTACAAGTTTAGCACCAAAATAAAAGTTTTGGCGTTCTGCCTGTTCGAGATCCGTTTTCACCTCATTAAACGCGTCTTGTAGATACGTCTGGTAAGTGTTGAATACCACAGCCTAAGAAGTAGACCGACATTTGGCAGTAAGAATATCATTCACTGAAAAGTAGCTAAGTGATAACGTCGCGATCCTCTGAGAACATTAGGATGTTACCTTTTTCGTATTGTATTTGCGCATCATCTCTAACGTCAGGCGAGAAATGGCCGGTTGGAAGTACGTCTGCTCCGCATCTATCATAATACGAACATCCAGACTGTCAGCTACCTGTAAAAGCAATTATTTATTTATATAAATAATCAAGTATCTCAAAACTGATAGAAAAGCTTTATTGCTTAACACTTACCGTGACGATATTATTTAAACGCCTGATCATGTTCCTAAACATTTCTTCTTCCTTGGACGTGAGTTGCGACATTAGCCTAACCATTTTGCCCGTCTTAATATCAGGTACTTGGAACGTTTCGCTCAGTTCATAATTTTCGTCTAGAATTCCGCTCCACGGGAAGAGATGAATCACACTGCGTGGACAAAAATATCCATTGTGTTTGCAATACTATTCTGTATTAAAACGTCGTTAAAATTCTTCATTTTGATCGCGCGTACCCTTCCTTATCCGATTGAATTTTTTGAAGGAACTTTTGCACCTCTGTATCTTTGATGCGTGCCTCCTCGAATTTTTTCTTAAAATCATCAGGTTTTGCGTGATGAGCCAAAACGGCACCCTCGCCGCCGATAACATCCGACGTATACTGTCGTGCACGCATAATTACCTCTGACAATTGCAGCTGAAACATGAATTATTTTATTACAGTTATAGTTTTACAAATGAACAACTAAAGTCAGCGAAGTAAAAATAAAATTACTAACCAGAAGCTGTGGCCGACCAAGAGCCGTTAATTTAACAGCTGTAATACCCATTCCCATCGAAGCACCTGTAAAAATACTTTCTGTTACGTCGTATTATACTACAATACCAATTAAGTCAATTATTTTTTTATAAAAGAGGAAAGCACCTCTGGAGAATAAAAGTAAAATATATGGAGAAGATTCCAAGATAAGGAAGGGAAGCAATGTATTTCTTACCAGGATTGGGATCGGCTTGATCATGGGTGGTAATATTCTGGGAGGGAAATTTCAGCCGTAAAGTATGAACTTCATCTTCTGTAAAATTTTATGAAGCAATACTCTTTATTCAGAGTATATCGACTTTTTCCTCTCTATTTCTTATTGGTAATTAAACATTAGTTAACTTTTGACAACTTTTTGTCCATTAAATGTCCCGAATACGTTACGTCATATAATTTGGCGAAATATACTAACAGTGCATATGCTTACTTACTGATATATTTATAGCCGAACGGAAGACTTTGAAATTATGTGGCCTGCGTCTGATTCACATAATTTATCACTGTTATCCTCGATGGCGAGAACACGTACTATTTTTCTCTCTTTCTCGTATAATAATAATAATTTTTCGTATTGACAATAATTTGACAGTGTTTTGTAGATATTGCTGAACTTATAATACCGGTGTCAGAAAGAGGCGAGTGTTCTTGCGTTAACAGAAACCAAACTTTGCTGAAAATAGCGATCAATCTTGCACGCGACTTCATGGCGTCGAAGTCGTGTCCCCGTAATATGTTATTGCCCCCTCCCCCACCCAAGGAAGCAATTCTTCTGCCATATTACATAGATTTTACTACTCCGAATAAATATAACTTTATACATTTCGTTTTAATGTAATTACATAACTTGTTCATTCAATTAATTAATTTTATATCTTCGCGCATTATATTGTCCTCGAGCAAGATCACATGGTCAGTATTAATCTCCATGTAATCAGGACCGATAATCATATTCAGAAAAATCAAATTGTACGATAATAATAATAATGCAGTCTTGACAGATAGTAAATCGGAGCATCAATTTCCATGAATAGCAAAGATATATGACTAGTTTGACTGTCTGAGTCGTTCAAATATCCGAAAAAGGTCAAGAGGCACTTTAAAGGAAACCTTTTAAGAACATTGCGAAAAAGATCGGTCTGCTTCATGAATTTAATTCATCGTTCCTAGTTTTTAGTAAATTGCGAAATAGATCAAGAGATGATAGAAAAAAAGGACTCCTAATTTATATACGCTTCAAGTAAAATAACTAAACTATTTTTACTATTTAAGTTGAAGTTCAAAAGACTCAAACGAAAAATCAACTCCAGACTGATTTGTGATAAATCCAGCATGGCTCAAAATTGTGCCGCCAAATATGCCGGTCAAGCTACAGAGATTAGGAAGGATTTTATAATGCTATAGAAAGCAAAAAATAAAGTCCGTGACTCACTCGCCACAGCCTCCAGACACCTGATAAATATGTCCATATTTCGTTCGCACGACGCTTCATTCAGGTAAAAATATGTCCTGGCCGACGACACCTTGTATCGTCGATCGGCGAACGACTTCTCTACGTGATACTTCTTTAGCGGGCCCTCCCTCTTCTCATCGCCCGCTTCCGACACCGAGGCTCTGAAATGGAAGAATACCGAATAGTTAGCGGCTGTTTGGGTATTTATTACCATCGCAATCTGCGTCTGTATTCAATTTTTTTCTATTTAGATGTCTCGTTTCTCACTTAAGCTCTTTTCATTCAGATATTGATAGAAATTAAAATCCATTCATACAAGAATCGAAGATAAGCAAATATAAATAGAAAACTGTATCCGTTATTTATCCTTGCGTGGTAAAGCGATATATAGACTTAAATTTTACTTGATGAAGGGATTCGAGCCACAGAGTAATGTGCTACTCTTGCAAGGCCATACGGAAAATAAAAAAGATCCGTGCACGATAGTTGCAACGGCGTAATTATTATGACCATGGAAATATCTAAAACTTATTTAAATAGTGTTACTTACTGGATTTCACGCCTCTCGGCCTCCTCCTGCGAGATGTCTTCTTCGACGGAATAATCAAGGATTGGTTTGACGCCAAACTGCCGCAGCCTATCTAAGACAGGTGTAATCTGCACCTCATCTTCGCCAGCGACAAAGTGACCGTAAAACGTGGCCTTCATAAGCTTCGTGAACAGCTTTTCACCCAGTATTGACTTCACCATTTTCATGACCTGTACAAAATTTAAGCAGTGAGACAAAGCTCAGCAACAACGTAACGCGCGAGAACAAATAAAAGTGTAAAAATAATATTGCAACTAATTCTTCATTTGAGGTTCAGCTTTGGAGCGAGCATTACGTAATCGCGCGGAGAGACGAAAACGTTACCGTAGGCAGTATGCCGTCGCAATAAAAATGTAGGTTACATTGCAACTAATGGCTACGTTTGATCCAAATATCGATCTCAAGAGAAATGAAATGCACGCTCCCAGAAACGGCTTCTGCCGTTAAAAATCATAGTTAATTAAAAAGTTTATTATTGAGTTTAAAAAAGGTCAAATATGTAAAATGTGACAGAAAAATAATATATAAAATTTTTCAATAATATTTTAAATAATTTAGAGATAAAATATAGAGAGAGAGAGAGAGAGAGAGAGAGAGAGAGAGAGAGAGAGAAGAGAAGAGAGAGAGCTTTCTCAGTTTTTATAAAAATAGAATAATTTTCTTCGCTTGCAAGAAGAATAAAGCACGTTCAGTGTACAGAAGAAAAGATATAAATTATGATACAGGACATTAATGAATTTTCACATATATGTATAAGAATACGCACGTTAATTATATGTGCGAAACGCACTGTAATATTTTATATAATATTGAAATGGCTGTTGTGGAAAAATACCCTACTGACTAGGCTTTATTTAATAAAGTACAAAGACAATTTATATTTCATTCGTTCAACTAGCATCTGATGAGAATTGATTATTTCAAATTGAGAGGTATCTTTGTACACATAAATGAAAGAGGTAGAATTAAATAATAACCAGTAATTAGTCAATTTTTTACGTTAAATTAGTACTATTAATAAATCATTAAATATAAAATAATTATTCATTGAAATATTTAGTCCTTATTTAACGTACATGTATTTTTGTATGTATCCAAGATTGTAAGCAAAATGTACAATGTTTTTGACGTATAAATTCTAATTTAAAAAATTTTGATATAATCCTAAATAAAAATCTATAATAAATAGCTAACGGAATCAAGATTTATTAAAGTGTGAGTTTAAGTACTGTTTGTAGGAAATTTTGTTTGTAAAAAATTTAAGAATGTGTATTGCAGCACAATAGCCTATAAATGAATACAAATATGTCGTGCACGAATATTCATGACAACTAAAGCTGTAACGTTAACTGCTTGCTAATAACATAACATCCGACGCTAACAATAATCCGTCATAATTTACACCCCGTGATTCATAACATTGCGAGTTTGTGATCATATCACAGAGAGCATATCAAATAAATACATTTCAATGAATGTGATGAGCATGAAAACGTCAAAGCGATATTCCGACGATGTTGAATTGCTTTTCTGTTCTGATTGCCTTTCCATGCGTTATTTTTTTTTACACATACTCTATTTTTTTATGTATACACTGAAGAATGCAGAGCACAAATAAATGAAGTTACCAATCATTCCTAAAAAAGTATTGCAATCATGGAAAAATCTGTGGCTTTTTAAGAAAGGAAGCAATCAATTCAACAACAAAGGAATTTCCAGATTATTTAACGTTCGCGATATAAATCAGCGATATAAGTCTGATGAGATAAGCAGCAAAGCAACAAAAGGCGTAACGTAAGCTTCAAAGGGAAAGAGAGAAAGACAGTGAGAGGAAGTGTGATTAAAATAGAACTATTAAAAATAGAAACAATTTTACGATGACAGGAGAAGAACTCGTCGATTGCAATCGTTTCCTTTATCGATCTGGTCGGGTTTCGTCAAATGAAATCGTAGAAATAAAATTAGGATGCAGCGAGAGTCAGTAAAAACTAGCGATGGCGTGCCTGGAAGTCGATTCTAATTTTAACATCTCATTCGTAAGACTTCTCTCTTCTTGTGCTGGAAAACTTTTCACATACATTCCACATAGAACGTATCTGTAATTATTGAAGCGCATAATATAAAGTTTACATTGTCATTTAATTATGGCAAATTACAGAACAAGAATCGACAGTTTAAAAAGTTAAATCGTTCCCGTTTGATGCAAAGTACTTGCAACTATAACTTGTAATTAATAAGATTACTCGTAATCAAAGTGATAATTCAAAGTAAACTGGAAATGCGCATTCTCGAGTGCTAGGCAAACAGGTGGATAGTTACATCTTACAATGTTACATAGACGACAGTATACATATGTACTTAATGTTGCCACTTAAATCATTGTTATGTTTGTCAAACTCGAGGATCTCTCGGAACACACCGAAACGTTTGTCAACGTTATGTACCTATTGATAAGCCTAAGCAGAGTGTGTGTACCTATACAAATCGATAAGCTCGGCTTTCCCATGCTAGTTGTAAATTCTCTGCAACTGTGTATATATAATTACGATTACGTTCCACATTCCATCCACAAAGAAAAGCGAGTAGAATTGCTATTACATCGATTGCGAATAAACAAATCAGATGGACCTACCGCAAAGCAACTTTTAATTTCGTACGATGTACGAACCATTTTAATCTTGCTTAATATTCGGTGAATAACAAAGATAAAATCAAATACGTTTTATACTTTACAGAACGGAGTCCTAAAGAGATTTAAGAGAATCAATTTTGTCACGTTACGTAGCTGTGCAAGATTAATCCGGAGCGTGTACTGCTGTGTGCCAAAACCAACTCATACTAGCTCGTATCCTCAGTACATTGTGTAAAAATAATGTTATACAACTATGACCAGTCAGTTATTCGAAACCACTCATTCGGCCTATAGGTATACATCAAACGAGAAACATTACCTATGTATTATTATTGTACGTAAGTATATCATTACGGTTTGGCGGTGATAACTGCAGTATGGTTCGACGAACTTATTATCTTATGTCTCTCATGATGCAACTGGAGAACATAGCGATACGCAGGTTGCGATTCGAGCTGACGATCGATCTAAAAAAATTCTTGGTCTCAAACTACCTCGAAAATCAAGCGCATCCTTTGATAATTTTAATATCATTCTCATATCGTTGCCGTGATCTTCAAGAATTCAACTCATTTCTTTCGCTCTTTATATTCGAGTCATTTCAGATGGCGAGTCATTTGATGTCGATCAGATCGAAAGATTGGCCAGCAAGTGATGGGACAGGACATCTTGTAGAACGATAGAGTTTTATTATGTCTGTAGATAAATAGAGAAAATAATCTACGACAAATAAGACATAACATATACTTAAAGTAACACCGATAATGGCAGTTTATTCGGAAATGCCGATCGACATTCATAAAGCCGTCTATTTGTAAACCTTTGTTAACTATTTAATCTAAGCCTTTACTGACGCACAATAATTCTTTATTTTTTAATCAGAAACAGAAATATTAATTGCGGATTATATTGCTAATAATGTCTATGAATTTCTAGTAAAACTTCATTGAACTTTAAAAATTTAAGTACTTTAGTCAGTTTTGAATTAATTGAAATTCAAGCATATCTTCATTGTGAGTAAAAATTCATCTTTTCTTTCTGTTAAAATAAGATGAAAGTTGGCCAGGTGCATTAAAACTACTTAGTGGATAGTAACATTTAAAATAATTCTTCACTGCTATTGTAAAGGAATACGAGAATTTTGCAACGGAGGAGATAAAAAGAAAAACAACGCAATCTCTTAAGTAACAACTTAGAATTCCAAGTATTATCTCGTTATCAGAAAAAAAAACTGCAAAAGAACTAGAGACGATTTGCTTAACAATACGAGAATAAATCTAATAATCATATTTAATTTTTTAAATGAGTATCTGCGAAAATTCGGGATATGAGCGTATCATAACTTTTATTTTCTTCAATTATATGGGTACCTAACTCTTAATCGATTTAACTTATTCCTTATCTCTTTTTAATTCTAGAATTGAAAAGAAATGAGAAATAAGTTGAAGATGATTACAACTCGGTTAAGAGTTAATTAACCGTGAGTTGTGAAACTAAATCTAACAGTGGACTCTTACGCTGTAACTTTAGAGCTACAGTTAAAAGAAAAAAAAAAAGAAAGGAATATCAGCAGAGTCAAGAGATATGGCATTTGAACGAATGATTTAATAAAATCGAGTTGATGAACTCGCTGGACTCGTTGAAGGCCAATCCATCCGTCCATTCGACCTTGATCGCACAAGGAGGCGCCAGATGAACTGGACAGCCTTGGGATTACTTTTACGTGTCCTTATACCGATCGCTCAGCTTGTCTCCTGCGCACACGAGTGTGGAACGAATTCTACGTAATTGACATATGACCAGTCTTAAGGCGTTCCTAGACTTAAGTTTGAGTAAAGAACTCACGTATGCACATTGGGACCGATCGAAATCTGGGTGTGCCAAGAGCGTGTGGAAATTTCTAGAACAGACGTACTAACCGAGGGAGATCGAAAGAAAAAATGCCGTCGATTGACTGGAGATACTTTTGCGCATATATTTGCTCAATTGTTGCCCAGCTGAATTTGGAAAGCACATCAAAAAAGCAGTGAAATAACCAAATTGGTGGAACAGCGTTTTGTCGGTAAATTCGCATCGCGAATCGCGAAACAATTAAATTCGCGTAAAATTAAATTGAGAAAGATCGCTTTGTGTCAAGCGCGATCCATCTTGAAGAATCTAAACTGCTCCAATTTTTGCGCATGTCATGCGAGAGACAAGACGCACAAATTTAATACTGTTAGACAATGGCTATGCGAGTAGAAGAAGATATAAAAGGATACAAAGAGTGCTTCTCAAAGACGGAACGCCAATGAGTTCAAGGAGACCGAGAGTCCAATCAATGTGCGAAAAACGGGAGCGACAGACGCTGCGACGCCGGACGATGCATCGCAGAGTATTGCATAACGAGAGCAGCGCGAAAGCGTAATAATTCCCGGGAGATGCAAGAGCCACGCAATAGATAGGTATATGGTCTCCAGTAAAATTGATGCCAATTCGACGCTATCAATCTGCTTGCTCAAATATACTCTCGTACTTCTCTTACGTCTCTTCCAATCG